TCATTATTTTTTGGTCTGGTATATGTAAGTGTTATTACTGTATATATCTGTGACAATGGGGAGTTCAAAAGCCAATTTTAGCGACCGTTTTAATAATGTAGTTTCTCCTTTTGCGTATGGAAAATTAGTAATTTGGTTAAATGGTGCACAAATGTTTGCCGTAAGATGTACATGTGTATTAGCGAACGTGGGTATGATTATTCAATATATCAGGGCTCCTTAATACGGAGTCGGAGCCGGATAGGGACAGCAAGTCTGCCGGAGGGGGACGCAGCTACCTACCTGCCTGTTGGTCTAGTTAGTCAAACCCCGACTCACCTGCATCATCCTCGATGGATCGGCTGAGAGACATGTAAGTAACATCGGCGCATCGGACAAGTGACTAACTTTCCCTTTGAACAGTCCGAATTTGGGCTTGTGGTAATTATTAACCAGCCCACCAGCCTTCTAGTTTCTATAAAACCCATGTTTTTAAACTGTTAATCTTCTGTATTTTGCTCCCCCTTCATCAAATTGTTTTTGTGCCTTGTATATTTGTAAATAAATTAGTTTCCGTTGAATTTTAAAGTTAAATTATCTGTTTGAGTGTACTGTGTAATTTACCGTGCACACATTGCATGTCAGAGGGTAGGGGGGACCCAGGCTTGTAACAGGCCCATCCCAAATAAAGTGCTACAGTTGGGCCGGCCAGACTGCAGCAGAGAGGTCCTGTGTGCATGATGTGCCCAGCATGTGCCAAAGTCATATTGTTTACAAATGTCATGTCATCGGTCATAGGACTAGATGAACAGATAAAGTGCCACATTTTAGATGAATTGTGTCAAGTGTTAGACACATTGACTTGCAAAATGTTGCAACATTTTCCACAGACAAATTTCAACAATAGTTGGCCCAGCCCAACTGAAGTGCTGCAGTTGGGACTGTCCCAACTATAGTTTGGACTTATTGCTGTAGTTGTGGCGTAACATATGTATGTGCCCAGCATGTGCCAAAGTCGCATTGCTTACAGTGTTATCGCACAGATTGACCCTCCTTCTATAACAGTCAAAAATTCCTTCCACTTGATTTGCCCCAGTACACAAACCCATATGGGAAATTGACTGGTTTTGACTGATGTGACAACTTTATCTTTGCATAGGAGGGTTATGTGCCATATTTTAGATGAATGGTGTCAATTGTGAGCATACACGTGCCAAGGTTGAGAAATTTTCTACGGAGACTGAATAAGCCAGCCCAACTGCAGACCTACAGTTGGGACTCTTTCTCCTAACTATACTTGGGGTGTAACAAGACTGATTTGGAATAAACTCGGGGAATAAAAGTCCAGCTACTTTGCCGAATGCCGTTGAGGTTTCTCTAAACACATGCCGTGCAAACTACAAGAGGCTTGTAGTTTGTATATGTTTTCTCAAGCTCAACTGATGGGGCAAATTGGAAATTGTGTGAAGATGAGATGGTCAGTGTTGTTAGGGGCATGAGAGGAGAAAAGAGGAAATGGGGCAAAGTTACTGCACAGCATCTACCAGGCATACATGTAGGCCCAACTGCTAACATAAATTCCTCAAACTAAGTTATAACATAAGGAAAACATATGCAAGATTACACTGCAATTCCAATGGTCTCCTCTCAAGGAAGACACAATCTGTAGCCTCCACCGCCTGCCTCCCTTGGCTGACCATATAATGACCAACTTGTCTTGGTATTCCTGTACACGCTGTACTTGTATATAATGTGACATTTCTTGCATCGCACCAACAGCTTCTTTCCCTCTTTCATACCTTCAACTGTGAAGACCTTCACCTCCACAAATTTGCGGTGCTGCCACA